GAAATCTACTGGTGTCTATGCGGCTGCTGCTTGCCAATGTCATGCCAAATGATGTATCCCCGACAGAATTTGTTTCCCCTGCGTTGGGACCTTGGTACAACAACGGATGGGATTATTTAAATAAACCAATGACATTTTGACTGATCATTATTTGTATCCTTCTGTAACTGTACAGAACTGTACTGAGCTAAAACTTCCAAAATTTGAGGAGCAATAAGTCTTTGGACAGGGGGAACAAACTGTGGTAGAATCAGCCTGATATTATTTGTATCCCACTGTAACTTTACTGTATAAAGAGCTAACATCTCCAAAATTTCTGGAGTAGTTAGTAATTATTAGAAGTGTTTATGAACTAAAAATGATGAATGTGGGATACTGTTAGTCCATGATTTTGAAAGCCCCGTGTATGCTCCCGACGCAGGGGAAACAAATTCTGTCGGGGATACTTAGTTTGGCACGACGGCTTCAAAGGTGTACTGGTGTTGCATGGAGAATCTGTAAAAATAATGATATCGTAATTTCACTTTATAATAAAAATTAGAATTCTATTAATGTTTTCATCATGCAGTTATGCGATACCATGGATAGCTGCTGCTCTTTACAACAAACGCTCTCAGTCGCCGCTGCCATTGGCAAGCAGCAGCCGCATAGACACCAGTAGTTTTCCCTCACTCTCACGCCCTCGTGTGATGGATTGTTTTCATCTTCATCTAAACTAAATGCTGGTTGACTATTCTCATTCTCTCTCTCGGTTTGCTCTGGTTCAAACTGGAAAGGTTGAACAGAAGCCATTTCCAGTGCGCTGCTAACTGTGAACTCGATGCGGTGCAACTGTGTGACGTCACTATCCAGAGTGCATTGAGAAGTAAATAACAATGGCGGCCTACTGGTAAATCGGTTTGATATAAAATGTGCTTAAAAGGAAAACATTTGGTGTATTTTAATACCACATATATGTTATTGAAAGCACAGTACATATTTTAGCGCAAACATCTGTTAATAGCCGGGGTTCCCTTTAAAGAAAATAGCCCTCAGCTCCTTTGTTCTCTGACCTCAGTAAAAACTTTACTTCTGAGGTTGTGGTTTGAACCGTTAGCTTCTTTTAGAATACAACTTTATTGTAACGATTTTAATTAACTTTATTTTGTCTGCAGTACAATGAGGTGACTTAAGGGTAAGCTTTACGATTTGTCCCTCAGATTCTCACGCTGGTCCACCAATCTTTCATCGGGTCCACTAAGATGACGATAACAAAAGTACTCAGGTGTAGGTTTCATTAACAAGATTCATTAAGAAGTAGGTGGCCATCTTTTGAATACAGTCTATGATTTTATTGACACATCAAAAATCAAGAAAATGCATCACAGAAAGACAGATTTATATCGTCTCACTCACACATATAGCAGGTAAATTCCAGTTCCCTTGATCCTCTTTCTACTCCGTGTGTTTATCCTGCAAGTTCCTATGGCCCATCTCCTTCATTTTACTTGCACTTAATCACACAGATAATATCCTCTACAGATAATTGCTTTTCCTTTATTCATATCTGAAACTAAGTCATACCATGGATTAAAACTGCTGTCAAATCACTCAGCGACTTATGAGAAGCACATCTGCAACCTAATCTCTTAATCAGCCTGTTCAACTTACCGGAAGGCAGTGTATAAGTATGTTTCACATGCTTCCATTAATGCTTCTTAAAAGAAATAAGGCTAAAGTGAGGAATGTAATGTGAGAAGGCAGCAGAACTGACTGTGAGACAGGTGCGGCCGATCTGGGCCCATCCAAAGAGGTCGAACAGGCGATGTGTGCTGGCCAGCTTGCAGCGCATCAACCTCTCCCCCTTCACCATGCTGCCAGGCTCCCAGCCATGCAGGTCATTGATGGGTGTCACCATCATCATGTCTGTGCGAGTGGGAGGAAGAGAGAAAGCAGACAGTCAGAAAAGAGGCAGTAAAGCTCATGGTCTGCACACAAAAGATTGTTTCAATAAAACATCATCACCACATAGGTAGATGACATCTCATTTAGCTCTTTTCCTTAAAGTCAACTTAGCGTGGATGCTCATATTAAACCAACCTGGGAGAAATACGCTCTTTCTTTCTAGTTCCTGTCAGTACTCGCACTGCAGCATTTTGGATCAACTAAACACTTTCCAGGGAGCTTGTAGGACAAACTGATAGTAATGAATTACAAAATAGGGCTGGGTATCGTCACTGATTTCTAGAATCGATTCAATTCCGATTCACAAGGTCCCGAATC